TATTTCAGTGTTTCCCAAACTTGACAATTTTAAGGCATGAGGACTTCAACTCCCAGAATTCCACAGCCAGCAATGCTTTTTTTTTTCTTTCTCTAGTTCTGAGGTTTATGGAAGTAAAGAGCGCTGTGTGATCAAACGAAACCGTAATCCCATCTCCTATTATTAAGAGTTTGATTTTCTGGAGGCACTGTAGTGGGAAGTTGATGGAATATTTGCTTCTCAAGTTGAAAAGCATAAGGATACATGGGTAGAAAGTCACGATAATAGCCCTGCTGAGCACTTCTGAACAAAGTGGATACTAAGATAGATGATATATGAAGAGATAGGTAGCAAAGTTTGTACTATTGGGTGCAGGGTGTTGGGGAGGCAGCTGAAGCATGCAGCACAGGGGATAAATTATGGGGATTTATGTTTGCCAAAGGGGGAAAGAGTTTTACCAAATTGTGAGTTCTGAATTAATTACAGAGTTCAGTATAAAGCTGCAAAGTCATTATGTGCCATTATGACAATTTTTCCCTGACAGGCAAAGTATATACCTGCACAAAAGAAAAAAATGCATCATTTTTTCTCAATTTCGCAGTCTAATCTACAGTTTGGGGATTTCTGATGATCTCATATTGATATTAATTGTTCAAGCAGTTAAATATTCCCTATTGAAGAAAGGCTGAATTTGAAAAAAAATTGATAACTGGGGAGGATGGCTGAATATTAATAGATTAAAGACAAACAGTACTCCACAGAACATAGAGGCCATCTATGTCAAACTTGAACAGCCCTCTCTCAACAGAGGGGGAGGGATATGACATCATCTATCTCCAGTCTACAACACAGTCTTTTCAACAGTTTCAAGAAGGCTCCACACCTTCTGTGACCCCGAAGACATAGATAAGCCTCTAGGTAGCATTAACAACTTGCTAAAAGAATGCAAATGATCAGCTGTCTGCAAGGAGTATAAATCTTTCCATTCCCCACCATCCAGTCAGAGCTGAAGAAGCTTCTTAGATGAGAAGCGAAAAGTCTTCAAAGAAAAACAAGAAAGTCCAGTTGCCTCGTGAAAAAGCATCTTTGGTTTAAAACAAGTCATGATTTAGTATTGGTGGACTAAGTGACTATTTTAGTCACTTAGGTAAAATAAGGCAGTCTTGTCTGGAAACTTCCTTTATCTTACTACATTACTATTAGAACATGATTTCCACTGGGATTTCCCCCTTGAGAGAGGATGATACTACCAATCTTCATTAAGAAACCTTCCTCATACTCAGCAGTAATTGTTAAGTATAGACCAGTTGACAAACTACTTTTGAGTGAACATGTTTAGTTTCAATTGTAGAAAATTTGAGAGAAAGCTGATTACATGGTCCCTTTTCAGTCAGGATATTGAACTGGGAATGGGATGGAGACAACATTGATTGCTCCAGTCGATGGCCTTTATTAGAAGACTCTGATATGGGAAAGTGTGACCCTCTTGTCCTATGTGACAAATTTGTAGATTTTGATACTGTTTACCATGGTATCTTCTGGGGATTCAGTGCAGTGTTCTGAAGTGGATTCATAATCAGTGGTACTGGGAGAAGACTGGGGACTCATACAGACTAGTCTTTACACTCTGTTCTTTTATATCTATATGACACCATTTTGAGATGTCATCCCACATATTCAGCTTCATATTTCTACCCTGGATCTACTAGAGATAGTGCTGAGGTCTTATCCCAGTGCCTGCAAGCTGCTGAGATTTGGATAGGAGGAAACAGATTAAAGTTGAACCCTAGCAAGATGGAAGTGCTGTTTGCTCATTCTGGTTTCTGTCATCTGTTGAATGAACTGTACTATCACTCACAGCTAGGGCTCAAAAGGCAGACTTATTTGCTGGACTTATGAAATTTAGAGAATGCCTGATTACATAATAATTCCATAATGATTTTCATTAAAATAATAAATGGAAAGCAATAAAAACACACTTTCTCTAACCAAAAAGCATTACCAACAGGGCTTCACAAACACTTTACCCTAGGAGCTTTGGAGAACAGCCAATTTTTTAAAGACTTCCAAAACATCATGAGGATGGGCTGGATGCTGTGGCAGGGAAGACTTATAGGTGAGCCATTTTCATCCCTCTCTTTTGCAGGTTGATTCAGCTATGCTGATTCATGTCCTTGTGACCATGCAATTAAATTATTGCAACGTGCTCTTCATAGGGTTGCTTTTGAAGACCATTTACAAGCTATAATTAGTCCAAAATACAGTAGCTCACTTGTTAACGTATGCTACTTGCCATGATCAATATTACATCATATTGTGAGTCCTGCAATGGCTACCAGTGTCCAGGTGCAATTCAAAGTATTAGTTTTGACTTACAAAAGCTTTTGCAGTTTTGTGTTTAGGTAATTTGAGGATCACTTATCAGTTCTGCTAAGGTGATCCTCCTGGAAAAAGAGGTTCATAGTATCCTAACATCCATTAAGTGAGGAGATCTAAAGTCAGAAAACAGCGTTTTCCATCATGGAACTAATGTTATGAAATAGACTCCTTCTAGAAATTAGGCAGACCCATCTCTACAACATTCTATTATTATTATACACATTTTTATTTGGTATGTTACTATAAGTTGCTGTGAAGATTTGACAAAATTCAGTATTACTTTGTAAATTTGATAAATACATAATTTGTATGGGTAACATATAACATGCATTGAGAGGGGATGACCTGTAACCGAAGAAATTCCAAGACACCTTTGTCAGTTGTGACCAAAGAACAAGAGCTTATACTTTCAGCAAACTGTAGCTCTTTTAAATCAGCATTAATAATAGTTAGATAGCATTAAAAATTTCAACCATATAAGTTTGTTTGTACAGTGACAGTCTGGAACTTACAAAAACCAACTAAAGATCTAATGCTGACTTATATGATAAGGTTAAGTAATTACCTAAACATCTGACTATTATAGGAAGTCCTTAATTTTCATTCTTTCTGGATTCTTCCCCCTCATTAGGCAACTAGCAAACATATACTGAGAATAATGCTTTCAAAATAATTCAGTAATTAAACAAATTAAATGTAAATTTAATAAATAAAAAATAAATAAAATAAACTGAACTGAATACTTAAAAAATTTAGCAGCTGTTAAAGAAAACTTTAGTTAGTTAGTAGGTAAATAAGTTTATATAAATCTGAAATATTAATAAAGATTTCAACAGGCAAATTTCAGAGACTTCTTTCTGAGCATCTAATGCATTTCCATTAATGCATATTTAAATCACCAATGTACTTATAGCACACTGAATATAGACATACATACTATTGTGTTCAATAAATTTATTTTTTATAACAAATGTTTGAGGTGATCACTGTTAACTCTAATAAAGGAAACAAAATATTATTATACAAGCAGACACTACTGAGTCCAACTATTACTGTTTTTATGGAAAATTCCATTATTTTTCTGGGAGAGAGTTTGATTCTTTTAGGTAACCTAGGGAAATACCCATTTCTTCAGGAATAGTATAAGAAGTCTCAATAAATTGGAATTTTGCACTGCAGTCCATTAGGAATTCACTCTAAACCACTTTATTTGTATCTGTATTTGTAAAACATTAATTTATCAAATATTTTGCTTCCTATAACCGCTTTAGTATGTTATGTATTATATTTTGCAATATATGTTCTTTTTTCTAAGGTACAGCATCATTCCCTCCCTTTTTTTACCCCCAAGCAATTACCACCCATAGAAACTCCTTGAGTCAGGCCCTGGGTGGATCTGTTTAATAAACCATAGCAAAATATGTAAATTCTGGTGATAAGAGCATCAAGATAGGAAATACTTGTATGAAGGTCAAGTCTGAGCAATTTAGTCAGCAGCAACTGTTATGTCACCAGATATATTTAGCAATGTCAGGAAAGTTGGAAGAAGCAACTAACTTAAGAAAGGACCATGCCACCTCAGCTGAGAAAACCCCTGGGTAGCGGCTTCGTTTCTAGCCTCTTCAGCTACTGATTTATAAGAAAAGAAAAACTTTTTACCTCAAAGGAAAGGATTGCAGCTCAGCACTGGAGCACACACTAAGTTTCTGGTTCAACCTCTATCATCTTAAGGAGAAAGATTTTTATGGGGACTTCTAGAGAGCTGCTTACCAGCCATCATATCCCTAGCATTCATTCAAACCTGATTCCATCTTTAGATCATTTGGGGCAGCAAGAGGAGGGGAAGCCATGTTTTGTATTACATATTTATGAATTAAGGTGTGCGCCAACCCTGAGCATCAAACCACAAATTTAAGGTCTATGACACTTGGTTAGAATAATCAAAATAGTTAATAAGTTAACTGACCTGCGATCAAGGATACCACATTCCACCTTTTTCCTCACTCCAAATAAACCTTTCAAAATCCCATCTTATATTAGAAAATAACACCCAAATACAGACAGCCTGCTTCTCCAACCATTTGGCAGGATGACACCAAGACCTGTTTGGCAGGATGACACCTGAAAAACCCGTCAGGAAGCATCTGAGAGGTGTGACTACCAATGAAAAGTTGAAATCGAGGAAGATAAAGTGACAAACGCCAGTAATACCTCAAAATAAGGAAGATACTATCAGTTTACTCCCAGCGGAGATGAGCAGAGAAGCGAGCTGGTGTGTGAAACAACCTACAAAAGCATCTCACTTGCATCGACTGATGGTGAATTTGCAAAACGGAGCCCAAAACACGTAAGAGAAAAGGTTTGAGGTTTTTTTTTTAAAAGAAGCAATTAATATTATACAGGTTTTCCGATGAAAGATGAAACAGATAGCCACGAAATTATCCGCAATAAATGAGAAAAAGGGAAATGGGTTCTTCTTCCTGGATTGGTTTAGACAACTACATCCCGCGGGCTGAAAAACTTTTAAAGCCGGGAAAGAGGAACAGACCGTACATTTAAAAAGTTTCCATTAAAATAACGGCGAAAAAAAAAAAATCACAGGCAGGCAAGTTGGGGAGCCGATCCTGGAGTGTAGCGCTTACCTTAGTTTCCTTAACCACGCCGTTTTTTTTGTGGATCCCGTGTTTTAAGACGTTATTTTTTTTCTGACGGCAGTGTAGATGTCCATTGGAGAGACCTTTCGGGTGAGCCATTTGCTTTAAACACACCAGGTTTCTAGTCCCTTAGGAATGATGCCTCGGTACTTCAAACTTCCAAAAGCTGAGCAAAAACAAAACAAAACACCCCTATTCCTTCAGAAAGATCTATACGAAAGTATCCAACTGGTCCGTCTGGCTGGTCGAAGAGGTTTTGTCACCTCTTATAATCTCAACCACTAAAAAGCAAACTCCCTCCGTAGTCCCAGGGAGTGAAACCGGCAAAACGTGGATTTATTGAAATCGCAAAGCGTATAGCCCATGCTGTTGCTGAGCGCAACCGAGCTGTATAACTGGAGAGGAATTAGCGAAGCTGCTAAAAAGGAGGGCGGAGAAGAAGGCGGGAACGCTTCGAGGCAGGTTGCTTGCTAAAGGAACTTAAAATGCGCAAGCTAGCTTTGTTCAGGGTATTCCATGTGCCTATAAATATTTTACATTCAACCTTTTTAAAGGCTTGCTCTACTTGTATGGCAAGGAGTCTGCAGGGAGAAGCCTCCCTTTCCACTCTCTCAATCAGTACAAAAAAACTGCTTACTTTTAAATTAACTTTCCTCTCCCTCCCTCCCTCCCCCCTCAGCCTCATTGTCAGGAGAATGCTCAACCGATCTCAAGGTATTTTTTCTGGAAGAGAAGCGTTGGTGCTGACGATCGCCTACAGTAGCCCCACAACGAGATGGGCGGCAAATAAATTTTAACAAACAAACGAATAATTACATAAATACATAAATAAATTTCATTGTTAACTACAGTAAACCTACCAATTATTTTTCCGGGAAAGACTCCACTGGGTGCCTGCTCTTAAATAATAAGAACTTAGGCCGATTTTAGGTGGATCTGCAAGTCATAAGGATTAGTTAGATTTCGATAGAAAGCAAAAAATCAGGAAAGCGGGAGGCAAAAAAGTTAGATGCGGGGCACTGCTGGTTTCCTCCTCTTAAAATTAAAAACCTAGGCCGATTTTAGGTGGCCCTGCAAATCATAGGATTAGCTGGATTTTGATAGAAAGCAAAAATCAGGAAAGCGGGAGGCAAAAAAGTTAGGTGTGGGGCACTGCTGGTTTGTAAATCCAAATATAACAACTTTAACAGGTGTTAGGCCTGCTTCTTCCTGCTGGTGTGCACTGATGTGTCCAGAGCTTGTTAGTCTAGCCACTTTTTTTAAAAAGCAGGTTGTAGTCCTGGTTCTATAATATTTTGGTTAGTTTAAGCACATTAACCTAATGAATTCCAAAGCCTAATTTCTACAGAGTGCAGTTTCTCCCTCATTATACAGTGTTGTGGGAAAGTATGCCTCATGAATAATGTTCAAAGTTCAGGATTGTTAAACCTTGAAATTATACATGCAGGAATATACAACTATTTGTATTAATATAATTACGATGGTAAAAGAACCGGTTTGGTGTATTAGTTATGGTGAAGTATTAGGTATTGGTTAAGGGTCCCTCTGTGAGGGAAATGGACAGTTTCTATACATTGATAAGTAAACAAAAATAAGGCATCAAGCTAGTTACTAGACACAAAGCTGGCAGGGTGATTGTTGGCCCAATCACTTTCTCTCAGCTCTAGGAAAAGGATAATGGCAAGCCACTTAAGAAAACTGCAGGGACTTGTCCATGTAGTTGCCAGGTGTCAACACCGACTCAGAGGCCCATATGTCTATGCACGCACACTTATAATACAGCTAAATCTTTGATAGAAACTGATGACAAAAACTTGACACAGCCACACAGTCCGTATACAATTGCAGAAGGATTTCTGGCAGTATTTTTCCTCTCCATACATGGGGAGAAGAAATCAGCTTTGGATCCACTAGATCTTAATTCTGTTCCTCTGAGAGGGTCTAGATTGACTATATCAGGCATGTCAAACTTGCAATGTCACATGACACCGCGCGATGTATTGCGACTTTTTCCCCATTGCCGGCAATGGGGTAGGCGCAGTTTCAGTATGATGCATCCGGTCTATGGCCCGGCAGTTAGACATACCTGGACTATATCATCAGGAAGCTATGCTATTCCCCTCCCACATTAATCATGGTCCAGATGCAGCAGCATACGCAGTTACAGACATGCCAAGTATACCTACATAATACCTTTGCTTCATGAGCAGTATAGTTTACCAGTGGGCTTCAATTCAAAGTGCTATCACCTAATAAAACCCTTCATGGCATGGGGTCTGGCTATCTGAGGGACTCTAATAGTTTCTGCCAATCTTTGATGATCAGGCAGAGCCAGCATGCTTTGGATGTCGCTGCGGGAACCCAGGAAAGAGGTCTTCTGGAATGACATCTCTCTAGGAGATATATGGCCACCACCCTGACCTAAAAACCTGTCTCTTCCCCCAAGTCTTGGGCTGGAGTACTTGGTGGACCTCTTTTGGGATGTTTGATCTGGCAGTGTTCACATTCTTTTTCCAGACAATTGTTTTTGTACCTTTTTTACATTATTCTATTTTTAATAGTTTCATATTGTACACCACCTAGAGTCATGATGGAGTCGGGCAGCTTATAAAATAATTAACATAATAATGTAGGGGATTTTGAAAGCAGGAGCATATATGGTATGTGTTGAGTCCTTCGCGAAAGGCAAGACACGAGAAGCAGTTGTAGTTCTCAGGTTTTCTTTTATTCTGTGTTCAGCTTACAGATGAAGGCTTCAGCAACGCCCAAAAACTCCCAGCCTCTTATATATGCATCTCCCGGGTCAATGTGTTACTTTTCCCGCGCCAGCACCCGCGCATGCACACAGGCGCTGGCGACAGCCTGTCTGGTCCCGGGCAGCTTGCACCTGCCCGGGACTGCCTGCAAACGCCCCGAGCCCGTTTGCAAGGCTCGGGACATAACAGTATGCTTTAGTGAGATTTATGAAGAAATGTGTGACTCACCTATTCAATGCCCGGGTTCCTTAGGATTGATTTTAAGTGCAATTAAATGCAAAGTATGTTGTCATTGCATTAAAAAACCAACCCCATCTAAATAAATTACAGTACTGAATTAATAGAAATAGAAAGTTGAATTTTAAATATGTTGGTACATGCTTAAAACTAGGGCACGTGTAACTCGTAGCACTCAAAAATATTACACTGTATTGTAATTTTCCTTTTTAAAAAAGTTTAGAATTTCAGATAATGCAAAATTATTTATAAAAGAGTAAAAAGAAAAGCAGTAAAACCAAAAAGATCATCTACAGATGTGGCAAATCTATGCAAATTTGATAGACTGAATTCAGAAAATATAATCATTTCCTATGGTAACTCAGCACTATATGAAAATTCATATTCACTTCTGAATAAATATGTATAGGATCAGATTGCCAGGTGTTACACCTACCAAGCAAAGAGTGTATTCAATACAAGTAGATGGGGTGGGGGACTGAACTGAAAATCCCAGTACAGTAAATCACTCTTGGTTAGTGATTTGGTTAAAAAGGAGAAGCATTTGGAAAGCTACAGACCAATCAGCCTAATGCAGACATGCAAATTAACATGGTATTAAGTAAATATAAATCACCCGTTCTTTTTTCATTTTGGAGAATTACTACAAATAACTACAAACAGATAATCTAAAAAACCATGTATATAAGAAAAAGCATTGTTTACAAAGCCTTGCTCAAACATGGATGTGTTTTGCTTCTGCTGATAGGCATATAATTTGTTAAACAATGTATCCTTCAATAAGCTATACTCTTTTGGTATGGAGTATAATATTGGACTAGATATTTAAAATTTATAATTGATTTTGAATATCTGTAGAGAGGAGATATTTACAAAATGTATGAATGCTGAGAGGAATAGCTAACGCAAGGTACAAGAATCAAGGTTCACAAGAATTACAATAAATAAAAACATTAGAGTAACCCACCCACCCCCAAATATTTTTGTAGGGTTAAAAATAAAGTCTTGTCCTCCAGTACCAAATAAATCACAGGGACAATTATTTGATGGGAGAGAGCACACATGGCCCCAATTTGTATGAAAAAATCTTGAGAGCCAGTTTGGTATATTGATTAAGGTGCTAGCCTAGAAATCAGGAGACTGTGAGTACTAACTAGTTCCCTATTGGGCATGAAAAACCAGCTGGGCGACTTTGTGCCAATCTCCCTCTCTCAACCCAATTTACCTCATGAGACTGTTGTGGAGAAAATATGAGGGGGAAGAAAGTAATTAGATATATTTGCTGCCTTGAATTCTTTATGAAAAAAAGACAGAATAAAAAAATCTAAAAACATGTAGATGACACAAGATCATAAGCTTAATATGTGCCAGTAAATGTAAAGCAGTTTTAAATTGCTTGAAAAAAGTTTGATATGAAATCAATATATACTTCTCTGTTCTGGGCAAGGTAAATTTACAGTGTTGTGTCCACTTATTGTGCCACAATTTTAAGAAGTGTATTGACAACTAGTCATACCCAGAGAAATGATGTATGGTGAGGGAGCTAGAGATCAATTTGGTCTAGTAGTAGTTAAGGCTCCAAGCTAGAAAACAGGAAACTCTGAGTTTAAATCCTGCTTTAGGCATTAAAACAAACTGGATAACTTGAGCCAGTCATTCTCTCTCAGCCCAACCCACCTCACAAGGTTGTTGTTGCGGAGAAATAAGAGGAGGAAGGAATATTATGTATGTTCTCCACCTTGAGTTATTTATAAAGTCTTATAAAGTAGTACTTATAAAGGATAAAAATCTAATCTAAAAACCAATTTGTATTAGAAACTATGTCTAGCCTGGAAAAGAGTAGGCTTGGGAAGTTATAATAACACACTTCAAATACCTTGATTCCCAGATGTTACTGCATTTGCTTGTGACATCTGTGGTGAAACACATATTTGCATAAATATGTCTAGTGTACCAACTCTGATTGTAAAGAGGCTTACTTATTGTTATGTCAGCAGGCCCAGGAGGTTGCAGAAGGCCCAGGCAGACCATGTGGTTGCCTGGGACCAGACAGGCTGTCTCCAGCTTTGTGAGCATGTGCAAGGTGGGAGACTAGCCTTGCATTGATAGGTTGATACTGTCCCTACAAAGGGAGTATAAAAGGGCCAGCACCATTTTGTTTGCTGTTCTGTTCTGTTTGTGATCTCAATAAAGAAGTTGTGTTTTGTTACTCCTGCCTTGCTTCGATGTCTCTGATTCTAAAACAGAACATTGGTGACAAGGATGGGATGGGCTGCAAGAAGGACAACAGGAGAAGCTAGGCTGACTTACCAGAGGAGGCCTGAAGCGTTGGGAAGTTCAGCGTCCAGAGGAAGCGATTGCCTGCCAGTACGAGAACGCTGGAGGTGAGCTCAGCTTCGTGGGACCCCTTCTCATACTTTACAGCAAGAGGCATCGAAGAGGCTTCAGGCTGTAACAATGTCAAAGCTAGGCCGTCTATTGGAATTTGATACTTCTCACCCTGAGCGCTAAAGCTCCTATGTGGCTCGAGTAGAGAAATACTTTTAAGTAAACAAGATCCAAGAAGATGGCCTTAAAGCTG